AAATTTTTGGTTTAGTAGTTTTTCTTGTCTTTTCTTTTGTAGTTTTCTTCTTTTTTTTTTTTTTTTTTTAATTCAATTATTATTTCGCAAAATTAGCGCGATTCGAATACGATAAACGGTTTGATAAAAAACAGTGGACCAACAGGAAAAAACGATGCAAAATGCGATAGTAACTTGCGTTTTATTAAAATTTAAAAATAATTCGATGATTAAAATAGTTATCGATGTTTGTTAAAAAATATAACAGTGGTTTCTGCCATTTACATACAATTTTCACCACAATTTACTAGTTGCTAGAAAATTGCTGGTTCAGGTATCGAAACTTATTTGCATACTTACGAGTAAAAATCGAGCATGAGCATCGCAGGATTACAACTTCATCGTTGTAATCGACACTGGTAAGTTTTTATAATCGAAAAACGAAATTTGGCTATTTTATTTCGTTAATTTGGTGAAAACAACGATGACCAAAATCTAACGTACAACGCAACAACTTTTTTTCGGGTTTATATTTCAACGATCATTTTTTTTTCCAATTTTTCTTATCAAAATTTGAAACAACGATATTTTCATTCGTTATTTAAAATCACTCTATTTTATTATCACATTATCTCTATACGAAAGAGGAAAAAAAGAAAAAAATAATTTTTCAATCGAATTAAATAATAATTCTTCGTAAACGTAATTCTAAAAGCAGTCTTATCTCGATTAACACTTCGAAAATATTATTTCTCGTTGGAAAAAACAATTCAACAGTCTGAATTTGAGTATTTTTCACATTTTTCACAAGGGACACATTTTCGCCTTTCGAGAAATCATGAGTATAAAAATATTTCTAAAAATTATATCGGAAAACAGAGAGAGAAGTTCGCTGTAATATCGATGTTAACATTAACATTCATTTAACGAGGCTTCGGTATTTTGTGCCGGCCTTGATAATGCTCGTTCAATTTGTACTGGTGATAGAATTTTTTCGGGCACAATTTGCAACAAAACTTCTTCTCCTTGTTACCACACTCAACCCTCTGATGCCTCAACAAACTGTCCCTCCACTTGTACCTCTTCCCACAACCGAAACAAATATTCATCAGGTTGCTGCCATCGCCCCGCAAATATTTCATTTCGTCTTTTTGGGACAAATTCACGTTGGTCGAGTAAGGTTGAAATCCTGATGGCAAACCGTACGGCAGTTGCAACGACACGTAGGCATCTGAAATTCAAGAAAACAGATAAACCGTTTAGAAAGCACGGCCCCGTTATTCGTCACACGGTGTAAGAATAGCGAAAGAATTTCTTTTCTTTTCTTTTCTTTTTTTTTTAGAAGCGTAGTTCGAACCGTTGCGCAACCTTTTTTTTTACAGGTTTCTCTTACAGCCAACCCTTGATAACCGCTAACCGACTACACGAAAATAATTGGATTAATCGGAGTGATTTGCGAATAACTGTAAAGATAAACGTGACGATATAATTTATTCGTGGATTTTACGATTTTACAATCGGCTTGCTTTTTGAAATTTTGAAAACCAGGAATGATCTGCCAAGCGAAGCGTTGCGTCAAACGGGGTCTTAATAACGTGAGATAAATAATGGGAACAATTTTATTCAAACGAAAAAATAAAATCCATCGAGTTGTGATTGTTACATTTTGATTATCATTTTAAGAAAATGTGAACGGATTATGGAATAGAAAATAGAAAGAAGTATAAAAAAATTTAACGAATTTTGCGTAAGAATGCATGGATGCACTTTCTTATTCAACGGATTTTTCATACTTTTCTTCTGTTGTTATTCAATGAATAAGTTTGGAAAAAGAAAAATAAGTTTGCACGAGCATCCACAAACGCTAATAATTGACGCAATAACGATCTCGACGTTATAAAAGCTACGCAATAACTTAAAATTATTTTAATTTTACTTATTTTAATCCTTTAAAGAAGCAACGAGAGGCGATTACAAAATTGCAAATTTTGTGAAAACTTCCTATTATAGAGATCCTCCAAAACAAAATGGTGAATCGAGAAACGCACAACAAATCTAATCTAATAACCGTAATTCGAAGAAAGAAAAGGGAGGGGGGGGGGGCAAAAAAAAAAAGAAAAAACATAGAATTTTTAATCCTTGTGATAAACGTAAACATGATTTCGCAGCTCGTATCGGTACTTAAACTTTTTGTCGCACAAATGGCAGGAGTACTTTTTCTCCGTGGTCCCGCAATCGACCCTTTTGTGCCTTCTCAGACTGTCGTGCCACTTGTATCTCTTTCCACAGTCGAAGCAAACGAACGGCGGCCCGGCAATGGCAACGTGAGATTTCGATTGGTAACGTTGATCGATGATTTGTTTCTCCAGCCTGGTTGTTGGAGGTCTCGCCTCGAAAGGGTTGAAATACGAGGAATCCTCCTCCTCCCCGATGGTGCGAACCCTTCTGTTCAGCATCAACAACGCGTTGTACTCTTCCATTTCTTCGACACCTGCGGGAAAAACGTTCAGTGGTATCGATTCCACGCAATGCAACGAATTATATCGTAGTGTCGTATAATCTAATTAGGATTAGGATCGATTTTGTGTTTAGCCTCCAATGGTTCCAATGGTTCGTTCAATGTTTAATAGACGCATAAATGGATAATACAAATGCACAATAATAAAGTTGAAACAAGCATAAATCGTCGCATTACACGTTTCATGTATCATAATTACTTAGCTCAATGAAACCATTTTTTAAAATCCATTTTTCTTTTTTTTTTTTCGTTTTCGAGCGAAAATGAAAAAAAAAAAAAAGTAAAGAAGAAGAAGAAGAAAACACGAGATGATCTATCGAACGCAATTCACGACACAATTTCTCAACCCTCTCTATCTTCTTTCAAGTTTTAAACACTCAACTCAAATCTACTTTTTTTCCACCTTCGAGAACCGACAAACTCAGAAGAAGAAAAAAAAGAAGAAAAAACGACAAATTTCGCATTCGAAGTGACAATAAAAAAAAAAGAAAAATGAAAAAAGAAGTCTGTTCGTTCTCCATTAGGTGGTCGATTTGTCGTTGGGCGCAGTGGCGCCCTCTTTGTCGCCGCAAACTAATCTCTGATGCCTCCTCAACGTGTCCAGCCTCTTGTAACCTTTGCCGCACTGATTGCAATAGAATTTCTGCCTGTGCAGCCACTCCACCTCCTCTTGAAGCTTCTCCAACGAGGCGTCGCACTTGGCCTGGTGCCGTTTCAGGCTGTCCATCCTCGTGTACGCCCTGTCGCAACCGTCGCAACGAAATTGTTGATGCGATTTCATGGGGTGGTTCTTGCGCAGGATGCTCGTCTCCACCGTGTTCAGGATGGACGAGTCGCACAGCAAATAATTCATGGGCAATTGACCGTGGAAAGATATCTCGCAAACCTCCACGTCGTCCTCTTGATCTTTCTCCGAGTAGCTCTCCGACTTCTCACCTGCAAAGATACATCGAACCGTTACAAACGGGCGCCCCCCTGGTCGGCAGAGTTTCGGCTAGCTTTTTCTCTTTTGTCTTTTCTTTTTTTTTTTTTTTGGAATTTTTCATTTCTTATTTCTTTTTTCCTCTCTCTCTCTCTCTCTCTC